TTCCATCGTCGTCACTACATTTGTCCTCATGGGTGACAATACATTCTGCATTTTGATTCTTAATCATCAGCTTACCGTCAGGTAGAGTTTATTTCAAAAGAATAATAGTGACTAACCCAATGTAATATTGAAGCAAACAATTGAAAAAATAAGATACCGTTCTACTTTAAAAAAGAAATTTATATATTTGTAATCCTGTCCTTGTGAATTCTCTCGGATCTTAACATATATTTTTCTGCCAACTTCCAAAAACGAGACGGTACTCAATTCGACTGTATGTTTTTTATGTGTGTTACCTCATAACTTTTTACTGGGTGAACCGATTTCGATGATTCTTTTTTTTTTTTTGAAAGCTGATACTTCTCTTGTGATCCCATATGAATTGATCAAGGACAGAGCAATAGTTATTGAGTTATTCTTAATAACTTTTATTAAAAAACAACAAAAATTTTAATTTTAAATTATTATTTTTCATTTAAATGTAATTTTTATTGAAAACAATTTTTCACTCTTAACACTGGTTCGAAATAAGTTTGTCCTTGAAAGAACCAGCAAGTAATCCAGCGGGATTTTTTTTGCTGTGGTGATGAATCCCTCGATGTAAATTGCACTGTCTTGGCGTAACAGAAGCATGTTCACGCTTATATTTTATTACAACTTTCAAAAAATATTTGCTTGATTGAATTTGATTTCCGATTTCTCTCAAAGTATTGCTGTTTCAGTTTATCTCGATACGCGTGTCATCTCTATTGACTTCCGATTATCCTACAGACTAAAGTACAAATAGATAGTTTGCTTTTAAAGCTTGAGTTTTATATATTATACCTAATATTTGTGGTTTAGTATCTAAACTTTTACAGGAACTATTTTTTTATATAATATGTGCGACAAACGAGCACACAGTCCACCTGATGGTAAGTGGATGCTCTGTCTCATAGATATTTTAGATATCCCTTATTTAGAATAAAAATGCAGATGCGCATTGAATGCAGAAGACTAAGATGGAATGCTTGTTAGAAAACAGGCCGTGAAAAGGGTCTCCGGTTCTCTACATTCACCATACGAAACACAGCAGCATTAAGCTGCTATTTTAAGCTGGTATTCTGTGAGAGCGCAGACCTTCCCCGGTTGTTCAGACCAAAAGGCCTCTAATTCGTGTCGTCTTTGTTAGTACGTTTACGTGACGAAGAGGTGTTTTCTTGAGTTGGAGTGATTAACTTAACCTCGGTTGCAAGTAATTTACGTCAATTTGTAGAGTGATTGCATGTTGAAGTGCATTTGGCAATATTTATTTTGCTTGTGTTGTATTTTAATATCGTACGAAAGAATTTGGCTTTGTCGGGAGAACGCTGAACTTTGTGACCCGAGAAGAGACCGCATTCGTTCCCGTGTTTGTAAATTTGTGCTAAGTGAACCCGGAACATTGAATATTGAACTTTGACCGACTGTTCTTTACTTGCGTCGTGTGTCACTTGGTTTAATTTGGATGAACTTTGATTTGATTGACTTTGAAGTTAATTAAATGTACAATAAAGTTGATAAACTGAAATAGTGAAATGAAAGCAGAAATGATCCCACATTTGGAGAAAAGCAGCGCCGGTGGATCTGCGGTCCGACTGAATCGGTTAAGTCAGGTTACACCCACACACTACTACCTTTACACTTACATACCACGCACTTGCCCCTGACTTCGCCTTGTGGTCGACCCTACTGCCGAAATTCGGTAAGTTTTTATTTGCTGGCCAGCCGTTGTAGAATAATTGTCCATAGGCCATTGGGCTCCGCCCTCTGTTGCTCGTCGAGGGGTCTACTATGGTCTCTAGCCAAGTCGACTATTGTAGGGATAGCTAAGGGAGTGAACATCTTATCTATTCGCTAAAAATGCATGACATAATGATTTTTATTATTTACGCGAGTACTATACATGGAATAAAATGCCCCTGTGACCATTGGTGCTGTAAAGTACCCGAAACGTCAGGAATTAAAAGTTAATATTTTACGTGATAAAATCCGTAAAATTACTTTTATTCCATGCATTGCAGAATCCCTTTAATAAATGTTAGCATGCATTTCGTTTTCCCGAGAGTGTACGGTTAAATCTTATACCATCGTGTCTCGGTGAGCATAAGGCGACTTACAGGAATACATTACATTAGACGGAACATCTGCAACGGGTATTGTGCAGTTTATTTTGCAGATATTTTAAATTCAGAATAAATAACATAAAATTATTTATTCAAATGTAAAACTAGTAACACTAGTAGTTTTCTAGTTGGTAAGATTTTATACTTGGTAAAGCCATGCTGCGGGCATAATATAATTGTAGCATAGATGGATCGGCTCGACCTAAGAAGGACCACGCTCAGACAGAATACCAGCGTAAAACAGCAGCTTAATGCTGCTTTGATTCGTATGGTGAGTGTAGAGAATAGGAGACCTTTTAACTGGAAATATGACATTTCATCTCAGTTCTCAGGTGTGGCAATGTATCTGTATTTTGATACTTAATCGAGGATCTGTGTAGAGATATCCTTGGGTCACAGCACTTACCATCAGGTGGACTGAATACTTCTTTTTCACTCTCTTCTTTTTTACGTGGTAGAGCCATGTTGCAGCTATGTTAGTAGTATAGGCCTGTTGGTCTAGTAGTTAGTGACCCTGACTGCTATGCCGGAGGTCGTGGGTTCGATTCCCACCCAGGACAAATGTTTGTGTGATGAGCACGATCATTTGTTCTGTGTCTGGGTGTAATTTATCTATAATATTTATGTATTTAGAAATATATAAGTATGTTTATCAGTTGTCTAATACCCATAACACAAGCTCTGCTTAGCTTGGGACTAGATGGCGTTGTGTGATAGTTGTGGAATATTATTATTATTATTATTATAGTTGTAGCACGAATGGGTCGGCTCAACCGGGGAAGGACCACGCTCTCACAGAAAACCAACGTAAAATAGCAGTTTAACGCTGCTGTGTTTCGTATGGTGAGTGTAGAGAACCGGAGACCCTTTTTACTGGAAAAGAGGCATTCTATCTTAGTTCTCACGGGTGACAACGCATATGCATCTTGAGTCTTTATTGAGGATAGATGTAGATGTCTATGGGTCCCAGTAACCACTTACCATCAGGTAGACTGTGTGCTCGCTTGTCACCATATCCTATAAAAAAAACTCTCACTCTATAAAACATAATCATTATGTGTCCGTTTGGGTAGTTACCTATTTCTTTTGAATTTACATATAGAAGGCCTTGCACTGCTGTATCTGGTCAGAAGAATATAGAGTAGAATAAAAGGCTGTGCTAGCCTTCTTTGTTCGAAGTTGGTAGCAGGTGTACATGGATTAGTACCCAAGTACCATCAGGTGAACTGTTTGTCACGTCAGAGTAATAAAAAATGAAACACTAGAATTATGTAAAGATTTTCACGGTAAACATATATGGAATTAAAATAGGTTTTCTGCCGACTTCCAAAAAGGAGCCGGTACTCAATTCGACTGTATGTTTTTTTTTTTTCGTTTTTTTTATGTGTGTTACCTCAGAACTTTTTTCTGGGTGAACCGATTTCGATGATTCTTTTTTTTATTTGAAAGCTGGTACTTCTCGTGTGGTCCCATATGAATTTGATCAAGGTCAGACTAATAGTTTTTAAGTTATTCTTAAATAACTTATATTGAAGTCGGCTGTACAAAATTTTTAATTTTAAATTATTAACTTCGTTAATGTTGGCACCTAACTTTTAGGTTCACATCGCAGACTAATTATTAGAGATGCGCCGAATATTCGTTTGGTATTCGGTATTCGGCGTATTCGGCACCTTATTCACTATTTGTATTCGGCCGAATTATTCGATTTTGGTGCCGAATATATTCGGTTCAAATATTTAAATTTTCTTACCTATTTATTGTACACAGACTACACAGTAGATAACAAGAACACAGAAATTCTATAGTAAGATTTACGTTAAAGCAAAAATGCTAGTTTTATGTATCCCTACTTTTGCAGTGTTTGAATAATGTGTTGGAGAAGGTAATAATAAAATAAAGCAATTAAACCTCAAAACAACATTTATTTTTAATGAACACACTTATGTGAGATCATATATAGAAAACCATAATCAAAAGAAATTAATATTTTAGTATTTGTAATTTGTCAAGGGTAAGTTATGGTGCAGAAACACCAATCTCTCAGCCCTCTCTGGCAGTAGTCTATTGCGTTTCTCCTCGTAAAGGTTTCCTGCTTCTGAAAATATTTTTTCGCTGTAGACACTCCTATCAGGAGCCTTTAGAAATACTCTGGCTAAATTAGCTAAATGTGCGTACTTAAACTTATGCTTTGCCCGCCAATTAAAAGGGATCTGGTTTCTAGAGAGAAGACTTACAGCTACATAATTGTCTAATTCCACGGCAATTGGGCTTTTACGATCTTCGTAAATAACAGGGTCCATCGAGGCAAGTTCATAACAGTTCCAAAATGCTATATGTGATTCCTCTAAAAAATTTGTAACATCTTGTAGAGGTCTTCTCCTGTTTGTTTCCATTTCATCTTCGCTTGAGCTTTCACCATCACTCGCTTCTTTGAATGGCTTCTAGAATAAGCGTTTTTCTTACTAGTTCGCATTTTTCGGGAGCAAAAAATATTATTCTAAATCTAGGGTCTGTAGACAAGCAATAGTATTTGTCTTCTTCCTAACTTCGAACTCTCTAAAAGGATTCTGAAGTTCTTCTTGTAGCTTCTGTACCATTGCTGGTATATTGGGACATATTTTTGAAATTTTGAGCTTCGTTAAACGTGCCGTGTTACTGTGGGGAATCACTTCATTCAATTCGTGATTTCTTCAAACGGTTTTAATAGAATTAGACATTCAGCCACTGCCTTTCAGTACAGTTTCGAATATTTACTGTGCCAGAATTGTTCGAAATGTAAAGTGAAATCGCACATTTTTGTTCATCGATTCTTTCCAACATATAATACGTGCTATTCTACCCCGTTGTGACGTCCTATACAAACTGATGCTCAGCAAGATTCAGTTCTTTCTGGATATTTTTCAGCTTTTCTTGCACCGTGCTTAAGTGATTGAATTGTGTCACTATTCTTCTAGCAGAGGTCAAATCATCATTTACGTTTACAACCTGTAATGAAGCTTTAATCGCCAATTGCAACGTATGTATAAAACACCCCTTGCCTTCAAACAGACTTTCATCAATGGCTTTCACCATATTGGGACCATTATCTCTCATAATCACGTAGATATGCGAAGTTATGTCCCAAGTTGCAGATAACTCTTCTAGAACAGAACGAATAAGATCACCTGAGTAAAAGTCAGTAAAATTTTTCGTTTGCAGAACTCTATTTTGTAGACCAAAGTCCTTATAAAGCCAGTGTGCAGTGAAGCTCAGAAAGCTAAGCATGTTGTTCAAACAAGTCTACATATCAGATGTAATCGAAATAACTTGGGCTTTTAAGATATCATCCTTGATCAATTTTTTCACTCTTTCATAAATTGTCGGAATCACTACTTCGCTCATTTCCAGGCAACTAATATTTAAACTTCAATAAATGCAATAACCTGTTAAATCCTTTATTTTCCAGAATTGAAATTGGTTGATTGTCAGTGGTAATCATTTCAGCGATGGCGTTATGAATTTCCTTTGATCGAGGGTCTGTTACGTCCCAATTTGTAATAAATGCCTTTCTATAGATTGTTGTGATTTTACATTCGACGTTGTTGGCAAAGTTTCTGAGCTATGCTAAGTGTCAGAAGCACTTCTAGCAGTAGACGTGGTTGCTGGCAGTTGTTATTTATGCTTCAGTTTCAAATGATTTCTCATACCACTCGTCGAAGCGCTGCGGCCTGATCCACCGCGAGAAATAACACAACTACATAAAGTGCACTTCACTTTTGTTTTATCATCTTCTATTTCGCTAACCTGCTTACGCGGCAAAACAATGAAATCGTAAACCGAATAATTCGGCCGAATATCCGGTTCGGTACAGGTTAAACCGAATATTATTCGGTATTCGGTTATTCGGTAAAATCACTATTCGGCGCATCTCTACTAATTATCATAAAATTCATATCTAAATCATAAAAATTTGAATCGTTTTTCTTTATGATTTCCGAATGAAATTAATGGAAAAATTTGTACGTGGAATAAAATAATAACCAGTTAAAGTAAATAACAATAGAGGATACTACTCACCATCATATGCTCGTATAATTAGCTAATCGTGCGATATATTCGACATAATTGTTCTCTTATTACGTGATTTGATATTAACATTTCTATTTAATTAGAACACGTTACAGATAACAATTAATTACCTTTATTTGCTATTATTAAATCTATTTATTTATTTAAACACTTTCTCTTATCAATCATAAAGGTTACAAAGGGCCACTAATGCCAGTAGGCATAATCTGCCAGTAAAACCACAGCGTGGTGAAAAGTTATTAAAAGCATCATCATTGGTGCAGCCGACATATTTTACTGGTATTATATAGTTACTGTACCACTTTGAAAATTAGCATGTTTTTAAGGAATAAAGCTTACAAACAATCACACAGTTCATATGATGGTAAGAAGAATGAAATTTAAAGCGTCAGTAGCCTAATGGCAGGGCGCGGAGCTAGAACTCGAAAGGTCATGGGTTCGAATCAGCCATTCGCCTACTGCCGTGAACCACTTCTAACACAAGCTGTTGCTGGTTTAAGGGAATATTAGTAATGCTTAATAGCATTACTAATATTAAAAAAAAAACAATATACATGCGTTGTCACAGTACAGTACCACAGTAGCATTAAGCTGCTATTTAATGCTAGTACTCTGTAAGAGCATGGTACTTCCTACCGAGGAACCGACCGGCCCACTTCGCACCATAAGTGACTTTGCATTGCGCTATTACATAATTATTACAAAACAAAATTGGTTTTAAAATCTATGGAAAGGAAATACTTTACACCATTAAAATCAAAAAGCTTGAAAAATGAGTACAAACTATTTAAATATATATGAATGTACATTTGTAAACATAGCTCTCACTTTGTCGGTGAAAGAATACGATTCTCGCAATTTCTCTCTGACCTATTTCGATAGTGGATACTGCACCACCATTTGGAACGCGTGATATGTTGGCTTCAAACATTTGCAAACGGTAAATATGTTTTCACAGTGTCTATACTGCAACTTAAATCAAGCGTACCCACGAGTAACGGCAGAAAAATATTACAGTTTAATGTAATGAAACTCAGATAAATGCTGAAAAAAGATAAGACAATGTTCGGCAAATTAAATTGGAAACTTCATTTTGTTATTTCTTTAAAAAGTCGCACGTGTACACCGTTTCCGTTTGAAATTGAACCGTGCTGTTTAAAAATCAAAGACCGTTTTCAGTTTAACGTTGTGTCTGTAAAGGTTTTTTCCAGGCGTAATAAGGAAAGAAAATTTGTGTCGTATCGGATTTTAATTTCTCCTCGGAAGAATTAATGACTTTGCTTTCGGCTCTCCTTTGTCGATTCATACGTTAAAAAGTCTATTGGATTTGACTGGGAAAATATATTTTTTTGTTTAATCAAGAAAGACTTACAATTAACTAAGAATTTTCTCGGGGATAGATTCTCGTAAAAGTTTTTTAATATTAAAAAATGTGATTTATCATTTTTCTAAAAGAGGTGACAATCGAAACTACAATCCACACCTACGAGTTCGATACATGGATAATGCAGCTTATGGATATCTATAGCAAAGAAATCTATAGATGCGTTATTACCTCTTTCGGGCTATCCATCTCTGAGGACTAAGATGGAATGCCTTGCAGCCTAGAACTATTGTTTTTATAGTATAAGGGTGACAAACGAGCACACAGTCCACGTGATGGTAAGTGGTTGCTGTGGCCCATAGACATCTATATTTGCTATTCAAAATGCAGATGCGTTGTCACCCGTGAGGATTAAGTGGAATGCCACGTTTCCAGTAAAAAGGGTCTCCGGTTCTCTACACTCACCATACGAAACACAGCAGCTTTAAGTTGCTATTTTACGCTGGTATTCTGTGAGATCGTGGTCCTTCCCCGGTCGAGCTGACCCATTCGTGTTACAACTATAGTACTATTAATATAGCTGCAGCATGGCTCTACCACGTATAAAAACTAAACTAAACATTACTGCCTCTCTATACCTTTAAGGCCAGAACGCAGCGAGCAATGCTATTTGGCGGCACAATTTTTTTTTAGAATCATTTTTATTTCTATCTAGGGAGTAATGTTTTATCTATATCCAGCTTAATATTCCAAATGCTATATTTCTTATTATTTTTGCTACCTTGCTTATTATATATTTATTGGAATGGAATGTATACTCATAGAAGAAATAATTTATAGGATTATAATATACGTAAAATTATATATTTATGGAAGGATCACGCTTTCACAGAAAACCAGCATAAAATAGCATCTTATTGCTGCTGTGTATGGTAAGTGTAAAGAACCGGAGACTTTTACTAATTACAAGGCATTATATAGTTTTCAGGAGTGCCAAAACATCAGAATTATGATTTTTAATCAAGGATAGATGTAAGCAGCTAAGGGTCTTAACTTCCACTAACTGGTGGACTGTATGCTGATTCGACCCCCTAATACTTTAAAAAATCCTTTCCCCGATCTTCACATTATTTTATTATATTATATAACTGTATTGTAGTTAAGCGACTATTCTAAATTATCATTAAATGGTGGTTTCAGTGGAGGATGGAGGGGTTTATCAAGGATATTTGCAGCAGAAGAGTAGATCATTAAACTGTAAAGAGATCTGGAAATCTCGTGCTGGTATTCGCAGTGTTAAGTGATCCCAGTAGATAAAGTGGTAACCTGATTAATCATGAAAAGTGTAAATGGATGCAGTTGGCTTATGTCATTACCAAGTGGTAATCTGTGATAGGCCAATGCTCACTGTGATGGGCAGATGTGGTAATGATATCGCTAGAAAATAATATCGCTACAAATTCACTAAAATATAATATTTAAATATATTTTTTACATATTATGATGTGTTTTCATTTTAGTAGGTAGAGAATGCCTTTATGCATTAAATTCACCCTTTGTATCTGTAAAATATAGCAATTGTTAATAAAACGCACGACTGTCTGAAGCGACAGATATTTATTGACTGACCACAGAGTAAGCTGAGCGCAAGGCATGACGTGCTCGTTAGGTAATAATAATAATAATAAATTTTATTCGAACTCAAATAAATGTTACACTTGTTCCGATTGAGCCCTAGCTCTTGAACTAGGAATCCTGTATGTCAGGAGCTAGTCCATTCCATACATTGTGCACAAATAATATTAACATTAATTATTAATTTCAATTTAATTTAGTTAGGTATACCTATATATCTATTATAGTTACAGCTTACAATACAAGATACCCCCAGTATTCTTTTTTTTCTAAGGGAATTCAAAAACGATAAAATATATTGTAAATTAATTCCAACAAAACACAAAAAAAATATGAATTAATTTCAGATAATCGATCAGCAATTAGTACAGAACAAATCTCAAATCCGTTAACACAAAACAGTTTTAGTGTAATCCGTAGGTTCGTTACCGTGACGTCGTCAGCCTACAGACCATTTCCGTTCTATAATCGACTTCCGGCTACTCGCGCTAGTCCAATTTTCCGTGATGGAGTGCTACTCAAATATAAACGATGTCCTGTCAGCGACTGCAGTCTGATTTTGTTAAATACCAATGTCGTTTTTATTTAATATAGTTTTATTTGTATTTTAAATATTGGTTATAGTTTAGTTTGAATAATATAATTAAATTATTCCACATGGAGTGACGACCTGGTAAGACATGCTGGTGGCTTAGGACCGTGCTTTGTGGCTTTTCTATTATTATTATTATTATTTGGGGGAGGGCGATGTTAAGCAATGGCTGTAATGATGATATATTTTTACTGCCTTTTATATATTCTATTCTAGCAACCCGCCACGACTTTGACGATCTATTAATATGTCGTTATTTATATTTAAGATAATGACCATTTTCTTATATTTTATATTTTTTTTCATCATCAAGTTTTTTGGGATAAAACATAGCATAGATCATTTTTGGCATTGCTTTCTGTCTGCTTGTGAAGTTTTATCAAAGTGAAGTTCAGTAATTTCAAAGATTAGCCCTAACAGACAGACTAAAATTTCCGCATAAAATCTTAATAGCATGCTAAAAACCATGAGCTTAATAGAAGCCAATTATTTAATACTACAAACATTAATTTTTTATATAGGATAAAGGTGACAAGCGAAAACACAGTCCACCTGTTAGTAAGTGATTGCTGTGGCCGATAGACATCTAAGTACATCTATCCTCGTTTGCAAATCAAAATGTAGATGCGTTCCAGACTTGAGGGC